AGCGGGCATGCTCGGCGAGAGGACGCAACGCAAAACAGACGATGGCCGTCTGGGGTCGGATCCATCTCACGTATCACATCGCCGATTTCGTGGCTGTGTTATTCGACCCGAGCGGCAGCTTTCCTCTCGATCTGAACGGCGACAACGTTCATCCAACCAACCGCCGTATGAGAGATGCGGCTGCCAGCAGCGCAATCCCCAACGGCTCTCAGAAAGTTTCCGAGAACGGAGATGGCTCCTTCATCACCGATGAGGCTTTTGATTCTTCGTCGGCCAAAGTAGTCGACTCGGAGGGTTTTGAAGCCATTTTCACAACAATTGTTAGTGATCGGGCAGCATCCAAGGGGGCGTTTTCCTCGCAACATGTCGCTCAAAGACATGTGGAATAATCCTCCGTACACGCCGGTGTTATCCAACCACGATGATGTCAACGTCTTCCGTGGGCCCTCTCCGAACATGGTGGCCATCTCAGACAGTAGTAGTTTAACGTAACACTCGTAGCACTCCCAGCCCGAACACTCAGGCAACCTCCAAAGTTTCTCTCGGGCACATCGAATAAATTGCTCCTTCTCAGCAGCAGTACCAACTGAGACCTTGTTGAGGTTCTCGGAAGCATGGAACTCGCAACGGACGCACAGGAAGTCTTCCCCAAAGATTTGTTTCGCTCCTCGCACAATTCCGGGAGATGAATCGGCTACCAAGTAGGAAGGACTATGACAAATACCAACACCGATTCCATCCTCAGGAAAGAACAAACGTGAAATTGTGCGTAGCCGGTCGAGGGCGAATGCAATACAAGATTGAGCCTCAGTAAAAGGAATTGCTACGAGAGCAGGTGCGACGGACCACCCATAGTGAAGGATCGATATGGTTACCAACAGCCCCATCGCTCGGATTGATTCAAAATGGCCATCGATGCAGATCGCGGGCATAGTAGGAAGACCGTACTCACGTCGAGCTCCGACGAGAAAGGGAGACGACGGGTCGAAACTATTATAAATATTTTTCAGGCCGAGACCACTACTTAGCACCACCACTGCTTGCGGAGCTCGCTTGCCAGAGCCGTCTTGCGCTCCCCCAGGCAGTTAAATTGCACCGAAGGAATAAAGCTCGTCATTCTTAGGTCTCTGACTGGTGAAGCGCGACGCTAATGGACTAGCTCGTATACCCTCGCCAATAATCCTAACCGCGTCGTTGTCCACGGAGGTGAACCCAGCCTCTAGACTTCTAGAAGAGCTTCATCGAACGAGGTGGCGACTTGGTGGTTGTTAGCAAGAAACTGCTTACGCTTGTTGCGGACGGCTTGAGCCAATCGCTGATGACCACCAAGCTTACTATCGGGTGCGGCATCAGCTGTAGAGTAAAGCGCATCTCCCAAACGTGCGATCTGGGTAGGATGAGTCGACTTCATCTGAAGCACACCACAGTTCCCTAAGGGAACTTCCCTCCATCACGCCCAACTACCCGCTGACCTCTCCGTAGGCTTGTATGGGTTTCTGAACTCTCACGAGTCGCTCACACTCCCTCTCCAGGATATGAGGAAGCTTGAGGTACTTCCCAGAAGCTAACGGTACAGTTCCGGGGAGTGCTCGGCTAGAGATAGACGCAGAGCGGCGCCAGCCTTGGCCTCGGGACCCGAGATCCGGATTGCCTTCACCTAATACGTAGAACGCCTCAGACGAGTTTTAGCCGACTCACAAAAGCAGTGTGGTTTACCTTGAATTGACATTCGCGATGTGAAGCACATATGAAAGTACGGAAGCACGGGATCTCGTTTCGACGGTTGCTACCGTAGCTTTTCAATTCACCATCCAAAAGGGCTTCTAACTTGTACTTGAGCATCTTCCCACGAGGCCACGTACCACCAGGAACGAGATCGTCATCGTCGAACCACAGAGTGCGAAAGCGTGGTCCGTAAGTAGTCCTAGAAGCAGGCATAGAAGCGACGGTACGAGTCCGCAAAGAACTGAGAATGCAACCGGGCCGAGAAGAAAAAAACAATAATTACAGGGCAACCCGAAACCCGAACTGTTGTCCGAGGCTGAACTGCTATTGACGGAAACCAAAAACCCGAACTGTTATACAAGGCTAGGCTGTTATGCAAGGCAAGGCTGACGAATAAGGCTGGGCTCCTACAACCGGGCCAAGAAGAAAAAACAATAATTACAGGGCAACCCGAACCCGAACTGTTGTCCGAGGCTGAGCTGTTATTGACGGAAGCCAAAAACCCGAACTGTTATACAAGGCTAGGCTGTTATGCAAGGCAAAGCTGATACGCAACGCAAGCTGTCACGCAAGGGTCCGCGGGGCGAGCGCGAAGGATCTTTAGAAAAGAGGCACTTTCTTTGGAAATATGGATTTTACCCACTTGCACTACTTTTTATTCGGTGACGGTGTCTTATTGGTGAAAAGGTAAAATCCAAGGAAGATCTCCATTTCCAAGGGAACAATCTCGCTCGCCCATTTTTCACTTTGTACGGGACGACCTAGAGTAGAACTAGAAGAAATCAGTAGTGGTCTTGAAGTAGATGTACTTCTTGGTGGTTCAGTCGCGTCGTTAGACGGAGGTGTAGAGGGAGTTAAACCTGTTGAATCATGAGGAAATGCACAGCGATCACGGTTAGACAATTTCATTCCAGATCTAAGTAACATCCCGTGTAGCTTGTAACACGATCAGGTGAGGCAATAGAGATTACGATGCGATACTAGTGAGGACTGGTTAACTCAAGTAGAACTAGAGTTAGGATGAGGTAGCAGATCACACAATCAATCACTGGACTCAGTCCAGTCTAACAATTACCAACTAGAATACTAGCTTACTAGCTTAGAGAAAACCAGAGACGGATCTAACCGTTTCTAGTATCCAAAACCGTTAGATAGATGCATCCGAGCGAGAATAATAATATTATAGTTCAACAATAGAATACGAGGCGAGCGAGATCTTTGTCGCGCTGCCACGATGGGACAGCACATACCCCGCAAATGAATACTAGATACTTCTAGTAGATTCATTTAACACATTAGAATATCTTAATTAACTAACAAGATAGACTAGAAGGTTGTTCGAATAGCAATATCTAGAAGCATAATCTAATATGCTAAATCAAATAAAATAGGTACTTAATCATCATAGATACTTAATCATCATAGATACTTAATCGTCATAGATACTTACTTATCATAGATACTTATCCCCATAGATACTTAGGCATCATAATACTTCTCCGTAGATACTTCTAGAATATGTAGAATGTCGGGATTAGACTCGTTTATACGAACCAAGTCTAGAGCCCAAGCATTGGAAGTGATGACGCC